CTTCCATGTTTTCCTTTTCCGCTTTCTCCTCTCTATTCACTCGTTTCTTCAATTTGTACCTTAACATACATTGGCAAATTCATGCACATGTTTTGCAAGTGACATTCCATTAGATATTTCTAGGGATTAGTCATATGAATGAGCAGCTCCATTTGCAATACTCGGACATCATTGCTTTATTTAAGAAAAAAACATAGCCAAATTATAGTATATATATATATATATATATATATATATATCTTTTGCTGAACTGTCCATTGCACTCACTAATTAGTTCCAATCAATTGTAACATTGCGGCTTTGTGATGGATATCAATTCTCCTAACAAGTCTATAATATATTGCACCAAATTACAGCTCAGGACCAATTTTTAGGATCCAGACTACAAAAACTCATTTTTTTCATAATGACATTAATCAATTTGAATTATCTTGTTAAAACTTTGAAGTCTTTTCCTTTTTTTTTTCAAATTAGTTTATTATGACTTGGTTGTGCATGATACGGATTTTTTGTATTTCTGACTAATTAAAAGTCAACACACACAAATATATGAATCATGATTTCACTTCTACATTTATGTGTTAGCAGAGATCTATGTGTGTAATATGCTATAATTTTTGTTTTTGTTAATTTATGTATTGAAAAGCTGTCAAGAATAAATGTTTGTACCAAACAAACACTTTTAATTTATCATGTGAATATTGATGGGTGATTTTGTGTGTTTTGAAGATTTGCTCCCCGGCCTCTCCTTGCTTTCGATGGAGTTTTAACGAAATATGTTCCGGGGTGAATTTTTAGAAGGCATATTGGGTTTGTAGATAAGACACTACCCAAAGATTTCGCCTTGATTTTTCCAGGACTTTATGATTTGAGTTCTGATTTCCTACAAGTGCAAGCCCCTATAGTTAATTACCCCTCAAATTAATGAGAGGGAACTTTCGATCAAGGCTAGTCATCGATCATATACGTAGTATATGGTGTATAGTAGCAACATTAGTTTTTGTGTTTGAAGGTTTGATATTTAAAATTAGAAATTTTGCCATGTTGTATTTAAAGTGGATGGTGGGGGAATGGATGATGGACCCGATCAAGATCCCATGGTTCTGTTGTCCCGGGTCATCATGGTCTTTGATCTACTTAGTCAAAGGAGGTAGTTGACTCAAACTGACAGAAGAATCCTTGTTGGCAACCATAGGTTGCTTCGTCCAAGGGAACCTTGTAGACTTGGAATGAATATTTTTTTAAGGGGACAAATTTGAATCCACCTTAATTAACAGAGGGCTTTGTTCCCTATCGATCAAATCCTATTGATTCATATCTCAAGTTTTTGATTTTATATGTTTACAAGCTAATATGTGCGTAGGTGCACTTTTATGTTTGGTGTATACATATTGTAGTTCATGATTGAGGCATTTTGGATGTATGATGAGTTTATGAATTTTAACTAAAGGTGGGTCATCAATAGATGGTCATATTCATTGTTTGTTGTATAAATTCTTGCGTATGTTTGTGGGTAGTGTTTCGCTCGTTGATGAGCTGGTGCGTTTGACTGCATAGAAGTTATGGTAGGAGCCCATCACATTCCTCATGTATTGTCTTTCTTTACTTGCCGATGTTCGATGAATTTACTTGCAAGTTGATATTGATTGGAGGAAAATCATCACATTCACAGCTTTTATGCTGTTGTTGCTTGCAATTAGTTCAATGTCTTCATTTGCAATATGTTGATATGAGATACGGGTGATTTGTAGTCATTGCAGTTCCCTTGAACATGTTTCGTATGTCAATATGGACTACAAGGTGTTGTGGTATTCGTTGTTTATCTCCTCTTATATTGGCCAATAGGTTGTCACATTTATTACACATTCCTTTCAAATTCATTCGCTTGCAAGTTCACATGTATTTACTGGCATATTGGCTTCATGCTCATAGAAGGCTCTTAAGTTCATTTATATGTTGACAAGCATATTGTATCCATTTGTATGCATCTCAATGCTGTTCAAAAAAGATCCACAAGTATCTTGAAGATGATTGTGTATGGATTGTTGCGTATGCCATAGACTCTTTGTTAATTTCAAGATGATTTGCTACATATATTATACTTTAATTTTTCAATTCTCTTGAGAAATCGATGCATCCGCTCATAATCACATGCTTCATTGGATGCATTAAGCATGTATACACAGTTATCGCGTTCTTCTCACATATGATTGTAGGAAGTGTCATTATCAACATGTAGATTCACAAGTTCACTACACATCAACCCTTCTTATCTGTCATTAATTCACATCCTACCTTTAATTATTATTGATCGTTGCAAGCAAATTATGTTATCCTTTGAGAGTGTAATAACACGACATGAAATATGGTTATGTCATCTACAACTTTACTACCACCTGTAAATAAGAGGTGTTTGCAAATTTCTTTTCCATTACCGACCTTATACATGTTCATTCGTATTTAAGTTAGAATTTGTTATTTAGTAAATCATAGCTTCATTTTTAGCACCATGTCATCTCTCATATGTTCAATTTAAGCTTGCGAGTTTCTCTCTATCTCAAATTTAAGTTCAATTGCTCATTCAAATTATTCAAGTCAAGTTTAAGCTCCTTTGTGATCATATTGAGTTCAGGTCTTATACACTTTGTTCAAGTCATGTTCGTCGTCTATTGATTTAAGTTCAAGTTCTTGATAATAACTTAAGTTATGTGTTCTTTGTGTTCAATTAGGTTAAAATTAAGTCCAAGTTCCTTCAATGCCAAGTTCCCTGTTTCATTTAAAAATCCAGCAGCCTCCCGACGTCTCCCTGTTTATCGGAAATTCTGGCAGACATAGTCCTCCCCTCAATGCTACACGAGTGCTTCAGGTAGGTGTCGAATGACACCACAACTGTATTTCTTCAATCCCCAGCACACTACGTGAGTGCTTAAGGGTCTTCGGGTACCTATTTAAAAGATGACACAATTGCTTTCCCCCGCTACGCTATGTGAGCACTTAAGGATATTTGATTTCTTCCTCGTTACACTACGTGAGCACTTCTAGGCTTACCCACCTCGTCGCAAGCGTAGCACTGGGTTCCCTCCCACCATGTTACATGAGCACGTAGGGTGGTCCACTGGCTCATCACAAGCGTCAATTGCTGTGTTTTAAGTTAGAAATTAATACCTTCGCAATGACGAGTGGCGCCGATGGAAACGAAATACACAAAACACTCCATTCATTTATATATATATATATATACCTAACAACATTAATTAATGCTAATTAATTACTTGAGATAATAATCAGTAACTAACACATGTGAAATGTTGAATAAAAAAAATGTAATCATGATTTTAATGTAAATAATATTCATACTAATTTACCATTAAAAGCTGCCAACATAAATAAGAATCAAAAGTAAAGGAAAATATGAAGCACTACTAAAAAATTACTGTTTCCGCAGCATTTTAAAAACCACTGCGAAAAGCCTCTTTTTAAAACAGTTTAAACCGCTGCTATTAAAATTTATTTTAGTCCTAAACTTATAGCATCAGTTTTAACATTCTAAAAAAAAAACCGTTGCTAATATTATTTCATAAACCCAGCGATGAAACCTAAATTCCCAATATTATCGCGATTCAGACCCCGGCTTTGCTCTCCTCGACTCTCCCTCTTTCCTTCTCCTTCGCGTATCAGCCTGCTCCTTCATTATTCTCCGTCGGAGCGACGCTATAACTATATGCGAATGCTTCGCAGATCCTGCTCGTCTACGTCTCCGTTGATCAAGCGCGAGACTCTACGCCACCAGCGTCTGCAAAATAGTAAGTTATTTGTTATATTTTGTAGGCATCAACCATGGGATTGATGCCCTAATGCTTAAAGGGACATCACGAATGGGGCTTCCGACGAGAGAGATGCAGACGTTAATTTGAGCTAGGGGGTTCAGTACAGTATTCGGCCCTCCGAGCCTGACTGCGCTTTCTACTACAGGACTGGATGCTGCAAGTTTTGTTCAGTTTTATTCTTACTGTTGGTTCAATCACCCGAAGAAGAAAAGATTGGTTCAGGTTTCTCATTTTTCTCTTTTTGAATTTTTGAATTTTTATTATTGCTTGCTTTTTTGTTTGAATTTGAATTATGGTTTAGGTTCTTCGCAGGTAGGAATAAGGTTTTCTATAATTGAATATTATGCCTTTTTTTCCTTCCTTTACACGTGATTTGATGCGTAAGGGTCAACAGATTTGTTTGAGATATTTGATAATTGAAGGTTGTGAATGCCTAAATATCTTTACTTAATTGGAAACAAAAATAATTCTTAGCAAGGGTGAAGATGTTGCAACTTCTTTAAAAAATTATAAAAGAAAATTTGGATAAATAAAGATAATTTAAACCCAAATCCAAATTTGACTTCAGTTTTGACAAATGTTCAAATGCAAAACTCAAATATAATTCCAATACATTTGTTGATTAGCGATCGAAGGTGCAATTTCTACCATTTTGAGTGCCTAGGCCCAACTATGAAGTTTATTAAGTTTATGCGACCTGAGAAGCACACCTGCTATGATAACAAGAGAGACAATCTTGGTTCGTGCCTGCGATGGAAGAATGAGAGAGTGGTCATGCATGAGAGGAAGTTAAGCCTTGGGATTTCACGGTTTTAACGTTTGTTTGGCTAACCGCAACTTAATTTCGTGTTTTTGGCCCATGAATTAGTGATTGACAGTGCAAATGAGCTAGTTGTTCAAAACTGGACGGTTCATTTAAATCCGTCCTGTTCAACGATTATATAATTGGACTAGCATTTATTCTATTTTTTTTTTTCAGTTCCAAGATAAAGCAATTTGCTCTTATACTTCAATTTTAAAAATGTTGATCGATCTGTTCAAAATTTAAAAATGTTGATCTCTAGCCAACATTCTGACACACAAACTTATTTAGATTTTGTCAATCATATTTCAAAATAAATAGCATTACAACTATGAATGTATACCGATAAGGTTGTTTCCTCATTCCCCTTAAAAAATAATAATAATAAATAACACTATAACTTTACATTGCAATAAGATAACATCCTTAGAAGAAAAAAACCTCGGGAGTACAGCATGCCAAATTGCCAAACATGCAAGCGTAATCATCATTGAATATTAAGTTGCATCCATAACTAATTAAGCAATTAGAATACTGTCTTTTGATAATCATGTTTAATGACAGAAACATGCATACAATAGTAAAGTCCACTTGACCACCATTTGTTTAGGGAAGCAGAGGATTGAGCTCAGTGGTTATGGTATGCAGAACAATTATGGTGTAGAGAAAAAGTCCAATGAAGCCACTTATGAGGGCTGCCATGATCTGATTGCAATACTTGGAGACCTCATCGCAGATGGGAAGCCATCCTGCATGCACGTTTCCCTTCTTCCCCACCTGTGATATCGATCCAGCCGACGCCATTGCACCAGTCAGCAGCATTGCAATAATCTAAATGCCATCACACAAGAAACTCAACAACAGATGATACACGTCTTTCTCATAAAAAGCAATAGAAGCCAAGAAAGTTAGTCTTACCACATCAAACACAGCAAACCATCTTGAGATTAGACCTGCCGGCGGTAAAAAGAGAGCAATAAGGCTGTAGGCAGCGGAGATGGAGTTGGCTATAACGAAAAACCTGTAATCAAGGTTTAACTTGCAGTATATACATGTTTGGTATTAGAAAAAAAAAATTGAGTTAATTACGTGAAAGAAGGGATTTGATAAAACTCAGCCTTGATGGTGATGCTGAAGATGTTGGTAGTCTCATGGCTAGTGGCCATGATGGCGGCAGCGGAGATGGTTGCTGCCATAGCCAGGAACCTGAGCAAGAGAGCGCAGGCCCTTGAAGCTTTGGCCATGGTTGGAGTGATGGTGATGGTGAACTGAGAAGTTAATTTAAGAGAGGAAATTGAAGGGGCAACTAAAAAGAGGATTTGAGGAGGGTAGATACGGGTGTTTAACCAAAGGAGAGGGAGAGGAGAGGTTAGGATGGAACATTATGGAGTGGTGGGGTCCAATTGGCAACCTATACTCGGCATTCTTGGAAGGTGCAAAAGCGCTTCCAAGTGTAGTTATCGTAGGTGAGAAGATTTAGGCAGCTATGTGATAATGTCACATTGATGACATTCTTTAGAAAATTAGCTTCAGAAAAATGTAATTAAACAATCAATTTAATAAACTTTCCATGCGGTTTGGGAGAGAAGGAAAGGGGCTTGCAGAGTTAGTTGGCTGAGGTGAACCATCAATTGTAATGGGTTGGTATCAGAAAAGATGAGCTGGAAAGAAACCAATCAAAAGAAAGGGACTAGGTTCTTGGTGAGACTATTATAGTGCCATGACTGAGATGCATGATTAAATCCATTTCTAGAAATACTTAGTATAGCTGTACTAGCCGAATATCCAAATTTCCACGTCATTTGATATATCAAATTCATTGCTTCTAACGAAATACACAAATTGACCCTGGCGCCCCTATATTTATTGACATCAAGTTCTTCAAGTAGAAAGTTCTACTAAAAATTTCATCTAAAATATCGTTGAAGACAAATTACATAGCTTCTCTTCAACAACCGAGTGCTTCTACAACAGGTAGGGTCCTTGACACAAGCTTCTTATCTACTAGTCCATTCAATAGTTCCTCGTCATATGTTCTCATAATAGTCTAGCAAGTAGCTGCGAGAATCATATCTAAAAAGGAACTGCCAGAATGCATGAGTTAAGATCGCAATGTCATAACATAGTTCGCAATGTGATAACATAGTTCAGAAATTCAAAACAGTAGCTCCCCAGGTTTACATAACTATAGTTTTAACCACAATGACTCTACTTTGTTTTTAAAAAAGAACATACAGAGTTTTCCCTCAAATCTGTTTGGAAATAATAATGATACCACGTTAAAAAATGTTAAGCCTGTTGCTTTAATTTCGTCAGCCCAGTAGACTTACAAGCAACAATTACCAGCTATAGTTCATCTTCTAAGCACAAGGACAAGATTAAAAAAAAAGTTCTGTTCTTTTAGATGCACTTGTTACGTCTTTCCTTCCGATTGATGGACCGGCCCATCCGCAAGCGTCGAGCGGTGAGGGATTTGAGTAAGACGTCCAATGCATTCTCCACATTTTCCGCATGTTTATCAAGCCCATGTGAGTGCAGCACCGGATGATCGATGGTGAAATTCTGAGAGAAGACCAGCAGCAGCAGCTGCCGTGCATGTTCTATCCCAAGCCGGCTGTGGCCTTTTAACATAGAACAGGCAAAATATGCATCAGATGCGAAACCAAATTGTGGAATGGCTTGACGGGGGAAAGATTGTAAGAAGAGTAAAATGCCTCACCGGAGTTTATGCATCACTGATGCGCCAGTACTTAAAAGAGAAATGCAAGGTGGATCTTTCTCCCCCCATGTAGCGGTCCATCTCTCCTGAAAAGAAAATGCTTTTATATGGGTTTGCTTTGATGATATGTTTCGCATTATTTGTAATCAAATGAATTTCATGGACTATTATTTTTTTGAGTGGCCGACAGCAGCTAGTTGGCGACAAGCCAATCCACTCCACGAATGCTGATTGAATTGGCTCCAATTAATTGTCATTTAAAATTAATTTGATGAAGAAATGCAGAATAATCATAAACCTTAGCCACTTAATTACCAGCAAGATAGCTCCAGGCTCTTTGTGGAAAATAATGAAATGGTGTAGAAATTCAACGCTCAATAAGATATGAAATTTCAAGAAAATCATGGAGTACCTTCAAACGTCTATACATTGCAGCAAAATTGCTCCACGTTCCATCAATTAGGACAAAGTTTAGCTGCTTTTGATCCTGTATATTTTAAGTTCAATTCATCAGTTGATTTTAAATATGTTTATCCCTGCAATACAAATAAGGATTTATAAAATTCTAAAGAGCACGCTCACTCAGAAGCCTATATGGCTGTAAGCTCTGCACTTTAAAGACGACAATTATTTGACTTAAATAAACAAAGCTTACAAGGGTTGGCCCTGATAGACTACAAGGAAACGTTAACCCTAATAGGCTCCAGGGGTAGGGCGGCAAGCGAATCAAGCGTTCGACGAGCTACTCATTGCTCGGTTCGATTAAAGCTTGTTTGTGATCATTTAATTAATTAAACAAACAAACCTGAACAATATTTTAAATACTCGATCCTTAAATAAACAAGCTTGAACATTATATGTTCGGCTCATTTATGTTCGTGAACAACATCATTTAAAGCTCGTGAACAAACTTGACATTAAGCTCAATTCATGTACAAGAGACATTTCACATTTGTCCATGTTTGCTTTATTGCTTGTTTAAAATGTACATGAACAAATATAAGATGAATCATAGATCACTTGTTCGTAAATGAACACATTTGCTAGCTCGAAAAATCTAGTTATATATGATCATGAACTTGCTCATTTGATATTTCAAGAATACTCGTTAGATATATTCATGAACGTAAGTGTTTGTTTGATATTTTTAAAAAAATCGCTAAATATATTTACGAACATGCTCAATGTAATTATTTGTTAGGAGGCTCGATAACGCTCGTTTGTTAAGTTAATGAACATCTGGAAGTAGAGCTCATTTATAGCTCGTTAAGGCTTATTTGTTTAAAGCTCGATAAGAACTAAACGAATTGAACATGAACCAAACATGAAGACTCAATAATTTAAACGAACAAAACATGAACACAAACAATAAAGCTTGAATCAAATACAAACCAAACTTGAACAAGCTAATAATAAATGAACACAAACATGAACACTTATATGTTCGACTCGGCTCGGTTCGTTTGCAGCCCTATCCAGGGGACCAGGACAGCTCATAATATTATGTAATCAGAGAGATCTATTTAAAATAGTGGTGACCTTCTTGTGCTTATTGTTGCAGATTTACAAAGAGAACTAAGTATTTGCTTTATTAAATCGGCTTTAATAGGCTATAACAAGACCTTCACGGACCCAGGTTTTTTTCTTCCTTTTAAAAACGTGGTTGTATGGTCTAGATGACGTTCTAGCTGAAGTTGAACAAAGCACAAGTGAGTTGAGGGAAGCAAACAGAGAAGTAAACTATAGATTGGGTAAAATAAAATCAAAGGGAATCTTAATCTTAAGGAATTTAGTGCTTCTTGAAAGGGCTAACCGCTGGTTAGCAGATAGTGTAATATTTAAACTAAATCTGAACACCGACGTTGAGCTCTACCTGGAAGTCAATTAGAAAGAGGGCAAAGTGTCGTAGAAATTGCAACTTCTGGTTCATAAATGAATTAGCAGCACTAGCTCAATAAAACAGATGTTGTAGTTTTGTACTTGAAGGGAGACCAATGAACAAAAGTTGAAACGAAGCAAGCGATCTAGAAGAGGGCGAGCAGATTCCGTCCGTGAATATAGCGAGAGAAATGGGGGAGTCACACAAACAACCACATCAAGCAATCTACAACAAGGCCATTTTCATCTCATACATACACGCGATAGCGGATTGAGCAAGCAATAAGGTAGGATCGGGGAGGGTGAACATTCAAGAGAAATTGAGTGAAGGAGAGGGTGATAAAGATAAAGATATGGAGAAGAAACAAAAAAATTGGGACGATGAAGCAAGGGAGACTTAGAGGAGGATCATAGTTGTAACTTAAAATTGAGAGAGAGTAGACAATCTAGCATGGGTAAGCTAACTGGAATCAAACTTAGAACTTGTATCTTCATTTATTTCTTCCTATGCAAAAGTTTCAACTCCAAATCCATAAACCAAGATTTGTTCTTTAATTTACAAGTTAACTTTGTTAGAACCTTTTGGTGAAGAAGAATAATATCACTAGGAAAAATCAAGAATTTGAATATCAAAAGAAGAGGAAGAAAAACAAAAAGGAATATTTCAGACATGTATTCAAGTCAGAATTTAATTAATTACTTTCTTCTTCTTTTTCAATTAATGTAAGGTTGGAACACCAAATTCCATTGTTTTATGGACTAAATTAGGAAACATAATTAAAATTGCCATTTTCTGAATTTAAAATTTAGGAATTTATTGAGGAAAGGAAGAATCCGTCAGGAGAAGGCATGTTTTGCAAAAGGAAAAAGAAAGGTAATAATAATATAGACAATTGAAAAAAATAAATTATAATTTGAAAAAAAATTACAAAAGATAATAGAAAATAAGTATTTATGGGTGATTATATACATGTATAGGTGAAAGCTAAGAAAAGTGCGTTTAAATATCAACTAAAAGTTAATGTGGATAATTATATTCCTATATTATAGTAGTTGTTCAATAATAGTCCCCCGACAATTCGAATACGGTCATTTTAGTCCCATAATATCACATTGCCCCAATTTAGTCCCTCAACTATATAAAATTGATTTAAAATGATCCTTTTGGGACAAAATTGGAATCAACTTTGTAAAGATGGACTAAATTGGAATAAATTTTATATCGCAATTATACTATGAAGGACTATTTTAAATTAACTTTATATAGTTAAGGGACTAAATTGGGACAGTGTGGTACTTTCGGACAAAATTGGCCATATGCAAATAGACTGGGGACTATTTTGGGTTTTTTCTACTTTTTCTATGATTTTAGTTATTGACTGATATCACCTTTTATATGTGCATTGATAATATTAATGTTTCTAAAAATTCCATTCAAATGATTAACTGATTTTTTTTCTTTTACTTGCATATTTACCCTCATATTGTGATAAATGTTAAATGTAAAGCATCTTATTGAAACTCATGTATGCACAAATTAAATATAAATATAAGCGAAGATGAATGAAAACAAATGTCATGTATGCATGTGCCAAAATGAAGTAGTTCACCTATTTGATACTAGCTGTGGAAGCAATGCGAGCCTAAAATGAAAAAAGTTCTGAGAAAAAAAAAATTTAAACAAATGGAAGTAACTTAAATGTTACAATTTAAATGGTGATCTTGGTGTTCCTAAGATGAGCATTTTATTAAAATGTTACAATATGCTAAATTACTGACCAAATTTCTTGCTATAAAAGGACATGCTCTTTATTTTCCTTAGAAAATGACAAATATGCATGGGACAAATTTCTTTTAAAATGATATGTTAGAGATTTCGTATGTTGAACTACATGCATTTTGCTTCCATTTTTAAAACTTCTAAATTATAAAACTATAATTAGTCAATAAGTTGTTATGTGACTAGATCTATTATGAAATATTAATACTTCAGAAAAGGCTCTTCTAAATTAAATGAGTGCTAGAGATGGACTTACATATAGGAAAATAGGAGCAAATACGAATAGTTATTCAAATATCATATATATTTTACTACAGTTAATTTATTTGAAATGTATTAAGTAGAATTGATTTGCGTATACTTTGAATGTCAACAAAATATTGTTGTTTAGTGACTCTTTATATTTTGGATGTTGTTTCTATTTGAATTACTTATAATGGTAGTTGAAGAGAATTAAACTACCGTCCGACCGATTGTATTAGTCATGGAATTTCAAGTTATCGGGCTGGGTCGTGATAGAAATGATGGAAAATAAAATTGTAAAGCAACAAGTTAAATTAATATTCTCTAATTTCTTCATCTAAAAATATTCTTCTATGCAATTTGTGAAATCTGTCAATCGGAAAAAAAAAAAATATTTGAAGAAATTAAAATTAAGAATTAATCCAAAATATTTTTCCTGATTATTAAAGTTTTCTTTAAAAAGGATTGAAGCAATAGTTTTGATAAAATATAACAAAAAAGTGTTGAAGAAGAAAATCCTTTAGAAGGAAAAAAAAAAAAAAAACTATACTATAAAATATTGAAAAAAAAATTGAAATTAGCTTTTAAAAAAACGTTAATGGTGAAGCTTTATTCCCAGACAAGATTCCTATTAGTAATTAGATATAAGATGTTATCAGAATTTAAGACTAAACTAAATGCGTAGCATAATGATAATTATAAAAAATATTGAATTTAGTAGTGACATGATAGGTAAATAATGAAAACATACGGAAAGAATAAAAGGATCTTCAATGCAGTGTATTGATCTTTCAAAATATATTATTGGGTAAATCTACAAAATAATTTGATGGGCATCAAGGCAAAGAGGTCTGTATAAACTATGTTAAAATTAATAATAATATGAATGATGCCGCAGTGACTAACATTAGAAAATAGAGAAAATTCTCAAAAGGGTTTAAACATTAATAAAACAAGCCATAAATGAATTTTTATCAGGCACGAAGTTAATTATTTAGTGGATACTATTGGAAGTTGAAGTAATAAAGAACTGTAGATTACAAAAAGAATAGATATAGAGTGCGGTAGCTAAAATAAATAAGTGAATTAAATATTTTATGCAATAAGAAAATGTCAACTAGAGTATAAATTTCATAAAATAATAATTAGATCGAGTATTATATAGACCTGAGTGTTGGCAACAAA